CCAAGTTTTCAACCCTCATCACGTGTTGAGTCAAGAATGAACTTTAATGATTACATTGACAAAGCTTTTGATTCGCCTGGATGAAGGTGAATCTGGCTTTTTATCAGGTCATTTTGACTGCTGGTAAATATCATAATTCAATCAACATAATGCATATGTGAAGATCACCGTCATGGGTATCTTCATCCCCATAATGTGGGATCTATGTCCACACACAAGTAAACAAAGCTGCCACTGTACACTCATCAGTCACACATGAGACCAGGTCCAGCAGCGGCATCAACAATCGATCAGAGGAACAGACGGAGCAGCTAATCGCACTTTTCTACACCTCGGAACCGGGTCAGCTGACATGAGAGCATCCTTGCACTAATCTTCAGTCTTACTACTCTGTAAGAAAGTATTTTCTGCTAACAGTGCTACGAAAGCTAAAGCCACTGCACACGCATTAAGTTACTACAATATGCACTAAAAAAGTAGATGGTAGTTGAATGCATTAGCTCTTTTGATCTAGGACAGTCCTATACAATGACATGGACAATTCAAGAATAAGTGCACCTGCTGCAGCCCTCTGACAAGCTTGTAGCTCAACTAGATATCACACATTTACAAAGAATAGACATTGATGAAGATATTGATAATGAAAAAAGTTTTTGTTGCAATATAATCTCTGATTATGCGAGAGGGGAGTGGACTGAGTCGTGTGCAGATTTGAGCGAGGAAGCTAACGCTAACTAGTCGGCTGTCTGCAGATTAATGCGAAGAAATGCCAAGAGCATGGGGAGAATTACTGAGCGGACTTCACAAAACTGGATCTCATGGTTTTCCTTTGTTGCAGCATCTGGTAGTGTTATTGCACAACTGTTTTGCATGTGTGAACCTGAACAAAAAAATAAAGAATTGTAGTCTTTTTAAATGTTGCAGGATCACCACTGCTCCACATCATCTCTCCTACAGCTAACCACAGGTCACCTATATCCAAGTTTGTGTTCTTCTCCTCTTTTCGCCAAATTAATCAACCGTAAAGCACCACCAAACCAAGAGTAGCTCCTGAACGAAGCAGCCAAGGATGCACTCGGCAAATGAGCCAAACGAGCCAACGGCCGGCAGTGACGCCACCGAGGAAACCAGCGAAGAAGACTCGCCTTCATCCAACACTGCACTTTCTGATTGCTCACTGATACTTCCTCCGAGCGAGGTGATCTTCTGCTCTGTAATCATAGCCTGTTTTCCTAATGCTATTTCAATAAAACATTTATTCTAGGAGCAGGAGGAGGTCTCCAAACAACAGCTGTTCCACCTCTGTCCTCTCAGATCTGCCAGGCTCAGGGGGGAATTCTGACAGGAGTGGGGGGCAGTGGAGAGGAAAGAAAAAAAAAACGGCCCATGAAACTGAAGGAGTACACACCCTTGATCCTTGATTTACTCACAGAGGGGTGAGGGGAGGACATGCAGCTCTAAAAATACCCCCATAAGGAGATGGGGAGGTTTGGGTGAGAGGGGGAAACGGGGGAGGAAGAGGAGAAGAAGTGAATGCTTGTTTTTGCTCCACTCACTACTGTATAAAAACATCTTAAGTTTCTGCATCCCTTAAAACACACCTCCCTCGTAACCTTAACTAGGAAGCTTGATGGATTAATTTTTATTTTCAACAAGGGGGTCTGCTTCCTCTCTTCCCCATCATCTCTCGGTCAATCCCTCCCCCCCATCCTCTTTCATAAAAAAGATGCCACTAAAGACCCGCTGAACAGCCAGAGGGGTTAACATGAAGGGGAAATGATCGGCAGAGGGCAGAACAATGTCCTTTTTTATTTTTTTCTGGAGCTTATTCATGTCAGCACCAGTGGCCCAGATACCGGGGCCGACTGAGGGAGTCCACTATCGCAGCACCAGAGGCTACAGGCCACCGTCTACCACACACACACACACACACACACACACACACACACTTAGTGGCTGTCAGCATGCCACAGTACAGTCTAAAGCGAGAGTGTGATATCCATCATTTCTCATCCTTCACAAACTTCTGATAACCGTGCAATGAAAAGACACTTTTTTTATTTTTTTTAGGATTTCCTAATAGGGCTCTACAATCTGCAACTTATACAACCCCTTCCGCTTTCTGTAAAGACGGGAAACCTCAGGACGAGCAACAGAGAAAGGATCCCTCATCAAGGCCACAGAATAAGTACAATTATACTATGATTAATTGATTCAATTAAAGTCATCCATTGAGAAAAAATGCCAACAATTCCAAGCATTGTCCAATCCAGCTCCTCAACTATAAGAAAGTGCAGCTTTTAGTTGTTTTAAATCAATGTAAATGTAATATATTTGACTCTGAGATTAGTCTGATAATGAATGGCAGATTTCCTTATTTATAGAAATGGTATAGCCTAACTGGATAATTTGTTCACTAATCACAATTTAAAGCCCACAGTATTGTGTATTAAAACTTAAATGCAGCTGTTTTGTTGTATAATGCACACGGTCCACACCACTTTAACGAGAAATTCAAACAACCTGTGAAAACTTTATGGCATGTCTGATTTTAAAGCATGAGGTGTGATGACATTTTTAAAAAGCCTGCTGTAACCTTGACAGCCTCATCAGAAGAAGCTGCTGAACACTGATACCCTCCTTCCTTTGTACCCCCTCACACACACACACACACACACACTCCTCCTCCCGGGTAGATAGTGGAAAATACTGACCCCACACACGCCGAGTGAGACAATGACCCAATAACGGATAGAGCGTGAACCTGAGAGGCGGCGAGGTAAAGGCGTCCCCCAGCCCAGATTGACCGAGGATCTTCACTTGTTTGAGTAGTTGGTGACACTGATATCCACCGCCTGTGTCACACACAACTTAGTGGTAACCGTATCCGCCTGCAGGGCCCCAACTTACTACTTCCATCTTCCCCTCCGCTGACAGCTGACCATGAGGAGTGATGAATGGAGAGGTCACGTAGCCAGCCGAGCACACAAAGCACCCGATATGTACTATATGTACATTCTGACATGGACACACACACACACACTGCTTCTCCAAAGCAAGAATGTCTGAAATGAGGATCAAAGTTGAATGATTGCAAGCTTGGAGCAATTTATATCAATATACAAGTACACAGTTTCATCTCCGGAGCCTGCAGAAGATTCAGGAAATGTCATCCCAACTATCAACACTGTATCTTCACTAAAGGCACTCTCTGGCAAATGTCGATCCCATATTACAGGAGTACAAGCCAAGTCTTCAAACAGCCTATTTCATCAGAGCAACCATGAAAAGCACTCAAAATATTCAATTTACATATATATATATATAAAACAGAGAAATAGGAACGAAAATCGAGATTTGCAAATGCAAAGAGCAAGATGTGTTATGGATTTTTTCTTCATACAGTCTAAAAGTCCATGTCTCTAAATCATTTAAGATCATTCAAATGTTTTTTCTCAAAATGATTGTCAGTATCACTTCAAATGACACAACAATCAACATAAAAGAAATGCAAAATTGTAAAAAATACTTTAAACAAGCCAGTAAAAATGTTTTTTTAAATCTCACTTATTTTAAGAAGAAGTTACTTTTTATAACTAAAACAAATCTAAACATGACTCGCACTAAGATGGAAAGTCTCACCGAGTAACTAACTTACTAAAGTAATCACCTAAAGACTCAACAATATTGACATGTCGGTTAAAGGACTAATCACTTCAGCAAAAACTATTAATGGACAGATGGTCAGTTTTGACTTTCATCCTCTGTTAGCAGTTTGCCTCACAATGAGCAGGACTCTTGTTTGACAGCTCACTCAGCTGTTGAGGGAATCAAACCTGTGACGTTTCCTGCACAGGACTTCACTCTCACCATTACACCTCTCTGATACAGATCTCTGAGTGTTACAGCAGCTTTCATAAATCTCTGATTGTCACGACTGTTTCTGCTTCCCACGCTTGCTCTCCAAATAAGGAGCAGGTTTGTTTGGATAAGATAATGAGTTACCTGCCACTTCTTAATCAGCACTCACTTGGAAATCCTTATTTCCCCACTTCAAACACTCCCACCGCAGACCTCCCCTCCACACACACACACACACACACACACACACACACACACACACACACACACACACACACACACACACACAACACACACACACACACAACACCACACACACACACACACACACACACACACCACACACACACACACACACACACACACACACACACACACACACACACACACACACACACACACACACACACACACACACACACACACACACCACACCACACACACACACACACACACACACACACACACACACACACACACACACACACCACACACACACACACACACACACACACACACACACACACACACACACACACACACACACACACACACACACACACACACACACACACACACACACACACACACGTTTGGTAACTCATCAAACCAAGACACCACTGCACCGCCGCTGTGCGTAAAAGTCATGCGTCATGCATGCTCAGGGCTTTAGCTTGGTCAGAAACGCACAGACATTCACAACAAAAACTCCAAGACAGGAAAGTGATATCCCCTCACGAGATGCCTGATCATGTAGAGACGCCAAAAGTTGCACGCGGAGGGAAGAATGAGCGGCACGCAGAAACCCAGACAGCTCTGACAGACTTGTTAAAGAAAAGAGTGCCAAACTGTGCCAAATAACAGTCTGGATGAGCGCTTTTAGCCTGTGCCCGATTCAACTCCAAAACATACAAACTCCCTTTGATAAATCAACTTTATCACATAACACGAAGGATAATTCACATTAAATCACGTTGTATGTAAATGATAAGCTTTGAGGTGCATCCAGGTGAATAGTTTGAGACTTGTACGCAATCATTCCTCTTAAAATCCAACAGCAACTCGCTATATTTGTGCAATTTAAAAAAAAACACGTGTCTGCTCTCCACCTGCACTACGTGACATTAAGATCCACTTACCGGCCACGCGAACTGGAATGGAATTAGGATCTTCCCGGTGTCATGGTTCCGGTTCTGTCCGGTTTTCTGGCCCCCCTTGAACTGAAAAGTATTCCCACCGATAACCTTAGTAGTTTCCGAGCCGTACGTGCACGTTCCTTTGGCCGCGACCTCCGTTTGGTATTCCTTTAAACACACTTTGAAGTACGTGTCGCACTCGTCCACCTCGCAGTGGCCGTCCGCCGCTCTCTGCTCCGGGTCGCAGCAGTCCCCGTCGCAGCAGTCCCCGTTCAGGAGCTGACCTTTGGGGTTTTCCACCGAAATCAACTGCAGCTCGAAGTAACCCGTGGAGTGAGACACCTGAGGAGAAGAAACGACAGTGAGAAAGGCTGAAAAAACCCTGAACGAGGTATTTGCACTTCAATAATGTCAATTTGTTCTATCTTAAAATGCCATTTACCGACTCTAAACTGACATGTTATACTCTTATGTTATTCTTTTTTATATAAAGGTGTACAATAAGGTGTTAAGTCGCATTAAGAATCTGTTTAGAACATTGTTATGATGAATCAAGTCTTTAAATGGAAATGTATGTTGTTATCAATGGAAGTAATCTCCCCATGCGCAACTTGAAGGAAGAAATAGGACTTTTTTTGGCAGTGTGCAGACTGCGTGTAGCCCACACTACAGTACAGTTTGGCACAGTTGCACTTCAGGGCTACTCAGAGACCTATACTCCAATTTAGCCCACTCTGCATTTCAGGCTGCAGCTGTAGTGCAAACATGTACAGCTAGTTCACCCAAATACTGTGCTTTAACAATACGGATAAGACCCGAATTTACGATTCTTATCCACCCCTAAATAATGAAACTCTAGACATAAATACAAAACTTTCTCCAGGTAGTAAACACTGTAAGATGTACATTGCTTTGAAGCAGTCAATGCCTGTATTACCTGTACCGTAGCCTATTTGACAGATGCTTTTTTTCGTTGCCTGTGAATCAAACTTAAATGTATCTCCCCAAAGGAATTTAGAAATTCCGAGATCACATGATCGGACTGTAGAGAAGCAAATTCAATTAAAGGCTGGAATCTAACCCCCTACACAACTTCCAGTGGATTGGTAAATTAAACACCGTTAGAAACACCATCTTCCTCTCAGATCAACGCGATAAAGTTCTCACCTCAGCGCACAGCGTCAGGAGAAGACACACTAGTGAGAAGCGGTGCAGTTTCCCCAGATTATTCCACATGTCTCCGGCTGCCCAGTGATGGTTACCATTAGGGAAATGAAAAATATGTATGTCTCAATCAGTCAAAATAGTATTAAAGCAGTATCCTCCTCTTGGTGTGGGAGGCATTCACGGCGCAGTGCTCCCCGGGATGCCTGCAGGTTCTGGAGGATGAAGCGCGCGCTGCTGCTGCTGCTGCTGTTTGGTCCTCTTAACAAGACGCGCGAACAACACTTCCCTCAGCCGCTCGACGCACTAAACAGCAGAGAAGCAGAGCAGCGGTGCGTCTCTGTTGCCAAAAGCCAGAGCCGGGCGCTCCCCCTGGTGATGGACAGCCGGCGGACCAATCACAGGCCGCCTGGGTGGAACGTTCGTCAGCGGAGAGCCAATCAGGAAACGTGGGCGGGATCAGGAGTGTAGGGGAGGACCGCTGATGGATTTATTATGGAAGTTTTCTCACACAGGAGCTTGTATTTTTATTATACACACACACAAACACACAGTCAAATGTAATTGTATTGAACATGTGGATATATATGGCAATACATGTTTGTTCCATACAAATCAATCTCATAATATGTTTATGGTAAAGAATTTCTGCAGAATTATAATTCAGAGGGTTCTACTCAAACCATAAAACAAACACACATATAAAGCTATAAATCAGACTCATAAATAATGTGTAAAAGTATGTAGAGTGCAGCACATGTTGTGTTTAGTGGAGGATACCTGAGCTGCTCCTCACTGACCTGCAGGCAGAAGAAACATGGCTGTTAGCGCCCTCTACTGACCGCCTGCAACACATCGCTACAGGGAAAAGTGATGACAGCTGGAGAAGCCTCTACATTTTTTGTATTTACATTTTAAACACTTTCTCTTCTTACTTCAAAGCATTTCAGGTGAGACATGTTGATTTCTCTTTGCCGGTATCACACAAAATGTGCAGTTCCGTTTTCAAGTGATTTCAAAGAGTAAAGATATGATTCCTTTTTTTTCTATTCGTCTACTCTGCAATATCCATATCCATTCATCACTGTTTGACTTTGTTTTTGTCTTACAAGTTCAAAGATAGTGTAGCAACTTTCAGGTAATATATATGGAAGTTTAGACGCTAAAATGTGAAAACCTTTCTCACCTAATCTTTACGTAATAGATTCAGCATGAACATCAGTGAGGGCCTCAGCCTGGAACACCATCTAATCTTTATTAGCATTATTGATTACCCTCGTGTCCTCCATCAGAAAGCTTTATAATGAGAACAAGCAGCTAAAGAGGCACTGGAGGCAGCTGGGACAATTTACTGCCTCTGTAAAAGAAGTGCTCGTGAGTTTCAAGTGGTGGAGAGTAACAAAGTTTACTTTAAGTGCCATCTTTAAATACTTTTTTCGACATAATTGTACTTGACTTGAGTATTTCCATCCTATGCTTCTCTATACTTCGGAGGCAAATGTGGTACTTTTACTCTACTAGATTTATTAAAAACTACTTTTTACATATCAAAACATTGTGATTGTGATTTGCTTACTGTATGCAGGAATTATTTTTAAAGTATCGAAAATTGGCTCCACATTGACAAACTACAACATTAAAGTGTTAGTGATAGAAACAAGATAAAATATTATTATACAAAAATATATATTGTGAACAGAGCACATTGAATACTGATACTTTTGATACTGTACATCTAGCTGACATTACTTCTGTACTTCTACTTAAGTAACAATTTGAATTTAGGACTTTTACTTGTAGGAGTATTTTAAGACCTTAGTATTTCTACTTAAGTAAAGCATCTTCCACCTCTGTCAGTTTCCCTATGATAAACTGTCATTAGCTGAGTAGCAGATACAAGAAGATAAAAAAATACTTTAAATGTATTCAAAGCGATTAGACTGAAAATAAATTAAGTTTTTGAGGGAAATCTAATCATCTGGTTTACACAAAGGTAATCTCTATTATATCTGGTACTATTTTAAATAAATGATCAGCCCATTGGTATTAAACACATTTACTTACATAATATAACTGTGTTTTTATATACAAAATGAAAAGAGGTACCTGCCTTCTTCAGTGCGCCTACAGCTGTCTGTGTGCACAATAGAAAGTAAAAAAAACAAGAAACACTGGAGGGCAATCTGGGCATCTCAACCAAAACAAAAAAAGCCATCAGTTAGAATCTGAAAGGCAAGATGATGACACATATTACTTTTTAATTAAAAACATAAAAGACCCAAGTTAGTGGAGGTAGAAACGATGTCTGCGAAGTGCATGAGCTTTGGCATCGCGCTCAGCTCCTTCATCTGCCCGACAGCCGAGCGGTGAACAACGATTTTATTAACCTTCTGAAACATTTTAATCATTGATGATGCCATTGACTAGCCGGAACATTTTAAGGCATTAATCAAGTTATATTTCTGGAATCGGTACAACAGTGGGACATTTATGGGAAGTATGGCAGCTATCCTGAAATTCACAGGAATTGGGACACCTTACGTTCTGAACAATGGTGCTCTGTTTGCCAACACACTCTGGGGTTTTTTTAAGTAATACATCTTAATGTCAGAGCCATCCTAAACAAGTCTTTATTTACGTGCAGTCTTCCATGAACTCATGTTTACACAGCAGGTTTCTGCACAGCATATTCTACATCTTAGGCTGCGTTCAGTACCAATAAATAAAGTTTTGCGTTGACAAGTGGTTAAGAAATAATGATGCATTCGTGGAAGTGAAAGCAAACAACTTTGATGAAAAGACGATTCGTGCCACGTCTCAAACCAACCTTGACAATCTTTCATTTAACATAAAGGAAAGAGCATCTCGTCTTAGTTATTTTTGTGATGACAGCAGCTGCGGTCGGGTTCATTGAAAACAATTACAGGCAAACCACCATAATGTATTTGAAGAGAATGAAAAGTATCACACTGCCTTGGGCGTTTTGATGTCCTATTGTTTAAAGGTTCTGACATTTAATTCATGAAAGCCATTTTTGGATGTCACTTCCTCTCTCTACCGTCAACCCTCTAATAAAGGCATAACATGTCCAAAAAAAAGACTTCAAAAGCATCAACGAGACAGCTAACACTTCAATGTGGTTGCACTACGGCTTCATCTATTCAAATGCTCTACAAACATATTACATCAACATGCCAGTCACAAAGCTGTTGATGGCTGTATGTTAAAAGTTAGTGGATCACCAAAGTTATTATGGTATCATATTAAGAGAATGAACAGCCACATTTCATGATAATGCATACAATGTTTAGATAATATGCTAATCAAAATCAGAAATATTAACCCTATGTTAGAGCAAAAGGTCATTCAGTAGGATTCATCCTCTGGGAACCATGAGCACGTACACAATTGTGCGTGCCAATACTTCTGACAGGGATTTTGTCATTCCTATAGCCATGCAAAATACAGCTAAATATTCATATAAGTCGTTATTAATCTGTATATTCACATACTTGTCTGGTAATAAACTTGTTTTTATCAATTGAGTTGTGCCATTGAGGATTTGTTTTACCAAGTTCCTGATGATTTCCAAATTCAAACCTTTTTATTCAAGAAGTCTGTGCCCTCTAATACGTATGAAAACCCTGTAAATGTGTTACTTCCAGCACGCAGACAAGATTTCCTGTTGCTTTCATATTCATTCGACCTCTCAGATGGCGGGCCACGGGGCGGTCTTATTGGACAGCTGTTTCTCCACATTTACATCACCCTGCTGCAGCTTTAGCCCGCGCACAGTGGATCAGTTCTGCAGGCCGCTCAGTGGGGACGGAGTCAGACAGGTGGCCTCTGACACCCTGCAGCAGATGTTTCCTCCCAGGGAAGCAGGTGCAGACACAGGACACACACACACACACATTTAGCCATTTGCACATACTTGTGTACATATGACTCATTGACATGCCTGCACACAGACACAAATGTCTTGTCTTCGTCTCTTTGCAGCGGCTCTTATCAGCAGGGATAAGGAAGTAGGGGAAACAGATAAACTAGGGAAGTAATGAGGCTAGCATGAAGCTCACTCCTCTGCTCCTGGGTATAACACAGGATCAATGGTAACTTCACAATGTAACAGTTTAGTTAATAAACCTGCATTTACTTGAATGTACAAGACCTGTCCTGAAGTAAGATTTGAAGATACTTTGCTTTTTCGAGGGATGTCAATGTTAACGCTGGGGATTTATCTGAAAACACAGCACCTTCAATCGAACCTTACTTTGTCCCTTAAAGGTGGTGTAGGTAAGTTTGAGAAACCGGCTCGAGATACACTTTTTGTTATATTCCATGGAATGCTCTTAACATCCCGATAGCAATGAATATCTTAAGTGCTTTGACAAAAAATCCATAAAAAAATGTCATCTGTGGAAGCCGTAGTACTGTAAAAAGCACGACCAATCATCTGAGCCGGCCCGGCTAAAATAACTGGATGGCCTACCTGCCTGTCAGCCTTCCATCTGTGCACAAACTTATCTCGTGACCTCATTGGTCATGTGCGCGTTCGTGTGTGTTGGAGGAGGGGCTCTATAAGAAAGTGGCAGATTTTCTCCGGTTGTGTATTTTCAAATTCTAGCGATCTCGAGCCGGTTTCTCAAACTTACCTACCCCACCTTTAATTCCAGCGTGGATGTTTACCCTGAATTGCATGGCAGTAAAAGCCAAACAAATTGGAGGAACTGGCACAAGAGACATATACTGCACCGACAGTACAAACCATCTCTACATCGCTGTAACGTCTATTCAATGACAAATGGTATGCACTCATCCTTTAGGTGTGGTGAAAATGAAGAAAAGGCCTTTTGTTAAACCATGCTAAGTGGGTAAATGATTGAACTTCAAATCAATAAACCAGAAATCATCAAAACTAAGCTGAGATGTTATAATAAAGTTAAAAAAAAACTCTAATTTCTCTTTACCAGTGTGTCATGCGTTTCTTATTAAATCACACGTTTTCCAACCAGAACACAAGGAAACACTAGTCTTTGAAACATTTGTCACTAATCATGAGACTTCCCCTACACATAATTTCAGATGAAAGAATTGCACCATTTCCTCTTGAGATGGTTGGATTAACATTGCAGAACAAAGGCCCATTTGCCATTTATATAGAGATAAGCTCATAAAATAACAATAACACCATCACTCACGTTTGATTTCTTCATTTCCTAATAGATACAGCATGCCACTGACAACACCAGCGTTGTGTAATCATCTGTATAGAGAGCCAAGCTCGTGTTTCAATCAAGTTCTAG